ATACAGTAAAAACAGCAATATTGTGAAATATTATTACAATTTAAACAGTTTTCTGTTTATATATATCTTAAAATTGAATTTATTCCTATGATTAGTCCAGTCTTCAGTGTCACACAATCCTTCAGAAATCACTCTAATTTGCTGCTCATTTATTATTATTATCAATGTTGAAAGTTTGTGCTGCTTATTAGTTTTGTAGAAACCATGATACCTTTTTTTGGACTCTTCAAAGCATTTATTTGAAATAGATATATTTTATAACATTACAAATGTCTTTACTAACACTTTATGCATCCTTGTTGAATAAAAGTATTACTTTCTTTAAAAACATATCTTCCTGACCTCACACTTTTGAATGGGACGTGTGTACAAATATTGATGGGACTACAGATGGTTAGAGTTCACTTATGAGAGCTTTGCTCATACCCAAGAGAAGATCCTCTGGATCCTTCACCACAATATGAGCGTTGAGCTCCTGCAGCTCTTGATGCAGCTCCTCTAACTTCTTGTTGGACTTCTTGAGCATATTATCAACATATGCCAGTCTCTTTTTTTCTGTGGTGACCTTTCTAAGGTTCTCCACCCCCTCTTTGATCTTCAGCTCTTTGCGGATCTCCCTCTTGATCTGCTCCTTGATTTCGTCTAGCTTCTGCTGCACCATGGTATCAGACAGGTCAAGGTTGTGCCCCAGGCCCAGCCGGTCCGAAACCATGTGAGCCTATACAAAATAAACATATATTAATATATTTTGATGTTAATATCCTTACCTTAGTCTTTGAAAACAATTTCAAAGACTTCCTTAAGTCTTTTTTCATGCAAAAAATAAAAGAATCTTAGTAAACACCTGAAGGAAATTCCCTCCTAAGGCATAATTGTCACCAGTATCACGATTCATGATATACTGCATTCACATCTCCCAGCGCACCCTGCACACTAACCCATAAGCATGAACGAAACCACACAGAGGCACACATACACATAAAGAAGCACAGTATCACTGACATCAGCAGGGAGGATAACTGGTCTGAGTGAGTGGTCTGAGTGGGTGAGCCAAATCCTGCTTAGCCCAGCTCTTCATGAGTTCACTGACAACATGTAAGAGAACTGACACGGCTCCTCTAATCTTCCTCCAGGGGAAAGTGGAGCCATAAATAAAGCTTAAAACAAAACTTCCAGCAGAATGTGCTCATTCAGGTCTAAAGGAGGGTGAAGGTGAGGTTCGTCAAAGCATGCACAGACAATAAGCAAAATATATCTGAATCCACAATGGACATATTATTCAAATACATCAACATTCAAATAGTAAAAATAGAGATGCACTGATAATATTACTCTGGAAGATAACAATAAGATCAACTGATAAATGGCTGATGTTAAATTTGAAAATTATTTGGTCTAAATGCAAAAAAGAAAACACTAACAACTAAAATCAGTAATTTCATTGCTACAAGTGAGGCATTACAGCATTATAATGCACAGCATGAAAAATGTAGTTATTCTGAGACTTGCTGACAATTTACATTTAACAGTGTTTTTAAAGAGTAAGCATTAGATGACAGCAGAGGTAATCTAAATGACCATGTACATTTAAAGGGTATGTTTTCCAATTTCAAACCAGCTTTGCATTGTTGCAATGTCTGAAAGTAAGTTAACAGTGTGTATTATTTTTCCATTCTACCAGGACCAAGTTATGCCCTTATATTTGCCAGCAAAAATCCGCCAGATGACGTAAATCGATTTTAAAAAATGTCTTTTTACTGCACAGACTGCCAACTTATTATTAAAACCCCATCATGCCAATGGTGAATTACACCTTTATGACAGATACATATAAATTGAAATACTGTCCTCTGATGTTTGTGGATAATTGATATGTTAGTGATATTGTGCATTCTTAATTAAAAATATAAAGCTGAACTGGAGTGAACGTTCTGAAATTTTAGCTTTGGTGACCCTTTTGTTTATATCCTTCATCCATGACTTTGAAATTTCACTGTCTGCACAAAGAAATAAAACAAATAAAAAATAACTGACATACATGTTTTGACACTCGGAGTCTGCTTGCACGTACAGCACTGACTCGTGGGTCAACTGAAGGTCATGGAAAAGCAACTGTCCTACATTTTAGGAGCCAGTTGTACCTCATCTCTTCCTCACTTGTGCCGCTACACTCAGGTGAAACACACAAAACCAATATCAAAACAGCACAACCTGCGTGACAAAAAATGTTCCATTAATAATGTGCTTTGCTCATTAATACTCAAACTGATGAGGGTTAAAATCTCCCTTCATACAGTCCTGAGGAGCACTTTAACTAACAACAGTGTCTCCAGACTTCTCATTCACCACATAAAAGCAAATTATGCAGCAGTGTCTCTTCCACTTTCCATAACTCTTGGACTTATCAGTTCTGGGAAAAAGGCTGACAAAACGTGTTTCAGTAACAACAGTGTCATTTCCAGTTTACAAAAACCGAGAAAAACACAACAGATTCCTGGTTGTAATTTGAATGCACTGGCAAAATGACATCTGACAGGACATGGTTTTGCAGACAACTGAATTCACAAATGCTCAGAAATGGTGTCATTGTGAATAACATAAAAAGAGAAAATGGGTGGACTCAAATAACTATTGTAGTAAGAGTAAAAGGCTACATCTAGAAGTCGCTTTCCAAAATAATGCATTTATTGAAGTCAAGTTATAATAGCTGACAGCTCTTTGCAGTTACTGACCATCATCCATTTACCAAAAACATAATTTTGATGTTTAAGACATCTTAAAGGCAGATAAACATTAAAAAAAATATATAAATATTGGAATAGTTTATATATAAATTGTTTAGTTTGTTAGTTTACTTTAACCAAACAAACCACTCTACACTATATTGATAACTAATTTCAAAATGTTAGAAACAAGACTGCAGTTCAGCACTGAACAAAAAGACAAGCCCAAAATAATTTGTTGAAAAACACAAGCGTAAACCAATAGAACATAACTTAATTCTAAACTTCCCAGTAGCTATAGTAAACTTTACTATACTACATCTCACAGTAGGGATGCTGTGGTAATACCACGATAGAGGCAGTGGACTTAACTGTTGTCCATTAGCTTTATTTAAATCTGATTTAGTTTACCTCTTCAACCAGTTTTGCTGTCTAGGTAGGCAGCTCATTGGGTTTTGAGACACGGCCAGTGTGTACAATTCCAATACATCACAACTCCGTGTTTCCACTAGACAACATCGCATAAAATCTAAATTAAATTTTATGTGGAGACGCTAATATAACTGTACGGGAAAAATACAAGCTCTAAACTCCTGTCATAAGCGTTTTCGGGCCACATTCCCCGTTTTCCCGTGTCATGAGCTCCTCGGCGGAGGGAGCAGCTCGTCCCAAAGGAAGAAAAGTGGTGGCTTGAAAGTGCGCGAGAGAGATGCGCTTAGGGCGAATACTATGTTTTTAAAGCAAAAAAAAGTCGCCGTGCACACTTTAAGATTCTTTACATCTATATTGTATGAAATAAAAAACTTTTCCTACCTGCATGGAATCGGCGGCCATCTTGGTTGTGAACTTTTTTTGAATCAAACTCTGGGGAAGGGGAGGTGAGTCACTCCCAAAAAAAACAAGCCTGTTATGTTTCCGTCTCAAGCGAAAAGCGCTTTATTTGGGGTACGATCCATAGCATGGCCGGGATACGGAGGAGGTCCCATTGTTGAGCAGTCGGTTTGTTGTAAACGCAAGGGTTTAGACCCGGGCTCAGAGCGAGATCCGCGCTTTTGGGGTGAAGGCAGAGCTGTGCTGCTAATATCGGAACAAGGGGAGGCGGGTGGCAGAGCGACCCAAGTGCAAGTTTCAGTTCCCGCACCCAGTTCAGCCACGGCCAGTCCACCCTCGATCACGTGATCAATAACAGCTTCACAGACACAGACCCTGCGTCCCAATGTGCATATATCCCCACCCTATCTGCCCTAAATAGTATTGAAAATGACAAACATCACATAGAATTTAGCATGGATAGTGTGCAAATTGAGACGCAAGGCAGAGGCTTCAACATAACAGTCTGATTCTATAGGAGCAGGACCACGAATAATATTAGATGACTTGAATTTATAAGGACTTTATTCTGTTAAAAACGGCACAAGTTATTCTACTGCGATTATTGCATTGGGGCTTATTTTACAGGAGTGGAACACTGTAATGATTCATTCTGTACGTACTTTTTATGTAGAAGTTTCTGCCGAAGATAAATTAGTTCTATCGCGATGTATTCTATTGGCAGTAACACATTATGTATTTTTTATTGGGACAACTCATTTTGTTGTAAACTATTCTAGGAGTAAACGTTATATAGAGCTTTCTTTAATGTATTCTAACAGTAGTTATCAACTGGGGCCGGGGTCAGGGCCCACTAGGGGGCCTCAGTCACAGGATGACTTAAAATTATTTAAATTGTAATAAAATAATGTAAAATAAAAATCAAGATGCCACAAACAGTCATAAGGGTCAATTTTTCAAAATTTAGATTTATACATCATCTGAAAGCTGAATAAATAAGCTTTCAATTGATGTATGTTTGCTAGGACAGGACAATATTTGGCCAGGATACAATTATTTGAAAATCTGGAATCTGAGGGAGCTGTCTAAATTAAGTCCTTAGCAATGCATATTACTAATCAAAAATTAAGTTTTGATATATTTACGGTAGGAAATTAACAAAATATCTCCAGGGAACATGATCTTTACTTAATATCCTAATGATTTTTGGCATAAAAGAAAAATCGATAATTTTGACCCATACAATGTATTTTTGACTGTTGCCACGAATATACCTGTAAGACCTAAGACTGGTTTTGTGGTCCAGGGTCACATTTGTCTTCTTCAATAACGATCATTTTTATTCAAGAATGTACAGTTCAATCACAACATAATTGGGTGGGGGTCTTCAAATGTGTTGGACAAAGAGGGGCCTTATTTGACATAACACAGCACTCTATTGTGATTTATTCTGTAGGAGTAGCAACGCATATAATTTTTACTGCAATTTATTCTATAGAAGCAGCATTACTTAATCTATAGGGATTTATATGGAAGTAACAGAATTCATATTGTGATTCTGTGAGCAGGACCACATTCTATATTTTATTACCACTTCTATAGGGATCTTATAATGTTGAAGCAGTGCAACTCATTTCTTTATTTATTTTATAGGATCATAAACAACATTCTGTATTATTATTCTATAGGGACATATTCTGTAGAAACAACTAATTATTTTCCATCTATAGGCGCAGGACCACATTCATTTCATTGTGTTTTTTAATGACTATCAAATAATTTTGATTATTTAGTTTTGATCACCTCGGTCACTGTGCCCCCTCACCTCTGGTGCCGTCTCCGTAGTGGGCGCCCTGATTTTAGTCGGTGAGGCAAGGTACTGCCCTGGGAAGGTTTCCCAGGCTGTTAAATACACAGATTAAAAGCGAAATGTTTTCATTTCGGTTCGTTCTTAGCAAAAAAAAAATTTTCCTTTTCGTTCAGGTTATGCAGAGCGAAATAAGAACGGTGCTGCATTTAGAAAGAATTCTTATTAACTTTGCTATTATTCTTGAATTTTCAAACTGGTAACACTTTGCACTTTGCAGTTTCGAATTATGCCTTTACTGTATGACTTTACGACTAAACATATGTTTTATGACTAAACATGCCTATTTTACTTAATAAGGCTAATAGTTTAGCTTCAGCTACATCACGAATATGGACACATTTGGATTTGTGCCTGAGAGAAGTAAGCCCAATTTTACCTTACGTTTCTTTATTAATTAATTTGTTTTGCGTCTATCCCGTTTTTTCCCCTGTTGCATCTGAAAATTACTTTCAGAAACATTTTTTTTTTCAAAGCAGTGATGATATTGCTTTTCAGCTCCAATGGTTAACCTAATTTAAACGGCCAGATATTACCATATACGTTGAATTTCCACAATATTAGACATTCACAAAATGGTCTGTAGCTGACAAAGCAACTACTGGGTTATATGAGGTCTTGAATATGAAACTAGGTGCTCTATTAGTGTCTCTTTCTCAGAGCTCAGCAAAAAAATGATGAGCTCAGGACTTCTGTTCGGATATGTTGTGCTCCCTGAGTGAATTCAAGTGGTCGTTTCTGTATGCAGAAGCTGTTGGTCTGTCCCGCTCACAGTACAGTTTTCCATTTGTGCAGTGAAAACGGTCACCAGGTACTAGCTGGTTATGGCAGATGGAGCAAACAAAACACTACAAGAGTAAAGAAAGAAATGACTGAGGAAAACATATTACAAGGTACCCTGTCCCCCCAAAACACACTGCAGAATATCAGCCTATAAACCAGGAGTAAAATTACAGATCATTTTTAATTGACTGTATTTGAATGGGTCAGTTTAATAGAGTAAATTACCTTGACATGGAAAACATTGCCCTGTGCTCGCATAACCATTTCATTTGCTGGGATGGACTTACTGCAAGCCCTGCAGGCTCCGCTGTGACCGAATAATCTGTAGTGAATATCATAATCACAAATGTCTTTTAATAAGCAAGTCATTATAATTTAATTAGCAATTTTTTTTCCATCTCTCACAAACACAGGAAGGCATTTAAGCTTTTAAATCTACATATAGTATAGCTATTTGAATTTTTGCTTACTTTGTTTCCTCTATTAAAAGGATAGTTTAACCAAAAATTAAATTCTGTCATTTACTCATTACTTTTTTTTAACCATACAATGCAAATCAGTGGGGTCCATTGTTGTTTTGGGCCCAAATTACTTTAATTGAAAAACAATTGAAACATACAGTATTTAAAACATCTTCTTTTGTGTTTCCCTTAAAAGTATATTCACCCAAAAATGAAAATTCTGTCATCATTTATTCACCCTTATTTTTTTTTCAAACCTGTATGTATTTCTTACTTTTGATATACACAAAAGATGATATTTTGAAGGATCATGATAACCAAACAGCTCCCATTCCCAATCAATAACATTGTTTTTTTTCGTCTATACAATGGAAATCAATTGAAATCGAAAGTGTTAAGTTCCCAACATTCTTCAAAATATCTTCTTTTGTGTTCCACAGAAAAACGAAAGTTATACAGGCTTGGAACAACATGAGGGTGAGTAGATGACACTTTTTTCTTTTTTTTTTGGAGGACTATCATTTTAAGTCTAACACCTTTTTTTTTTTTTTTTTTAACTATACTCCCAGAAAACTTATGAGATGTATAAAAGAACTGCTCTCATTTATCTAGTATATTTGTTAGCTCAGGGTGTGAATGATGGTAAATTATCGAGGATGACAATAGCAAAACAGTGTTGTTCCTGTAGTCTGACCTTATATAGTCACTTTTGCATAGGATCAAGCCACGCTTTGTGAAACACCATGAGCCAATTTCTGCCAGCTGGGCTTGACAGCAGGAGCACTTGAGACAGTGGCAGTGCCAGTACCCATCCAAAGCAAACAGGAGGAAGCGGTCTGAAATCTTGCATCCACATCCAATGCACCACTTCCATGCCAGGGCCCCCATTCTGACATGAGGCAGTTGTGCATTACAAGCAGTGTTTACCATAATAAATGGCTCACTACCTGGAATAGAATGCATGTAAACTGAACAGATGTTTCAGTTAACTGGACAACAAATACAAACTGTATTCAATTAGTTTATAAGTAGACAATAAATTAACCAGAGGGCCTCTATCTATATGACACTGACAGATACACAATATTGTTCAAGTAAACAAGTTCAACTCACTCACCTGCTTCACAACTTCATGCTTTCACAGACTCATCAATATCGCGTTCAGTCTGTCAGTTCGGATAGACGCAGACACCCGTTCATTTCTTGTCTTTAGGCAAAAAGGAGAGGTCATAAACATAAATATAACTTCGTTTACCTACATTTAAATGACCTCTCGCTTGCATCTCCTCATGAGGTCTGAACGCTGCAAGTTAATGGCGCTCGTTACGCAGACTTCTATCCCCTTTAAACATCCGTGAGGTGACGTCAGGCTCGCTTCAGCCAATCAACAGCCACTTAAATTTTAGTCTCGTGCTGAAGCAGCCCAGCAGATGCAGATGCTAAATGATTGATGCTATCAACATCTGAATGGCGCATTCGTCACTTGCACTGACATTTCACTATATTTAATGTACTATTTAAATTTTAATTGTAAATCACAAAATTAGCTGGCAGAAATTGATTTGTCAAAGTGACTTGAAGAAGTTTAGAAGAACTGCCTCATGTTTCTCAGTCGGAGTCATTTACAATGGGGCCTAATCACCCATATTAAAGACCTGATTACAGCACACACACAGAATCATGGCCAATCAAATCACTATGAAAAGAAACCTTGACAGCAGTCTGATTGCTTGGTAATAGAAAATCATATGTGAGAAAAGGATCTTGCCTTTCTTATCATCTGTCTGTCATTTAGCCATGATTATCATCAGATTAAATACAATCAAAGCAGTTTGGGTGAAAAGTGGTAGTCATGGGAACCAGCGAAAACTGTTTATCTTGTCAAATGATCTTAATTCAAACCTGCACACTCTAGATTACAGAGATGTAGGAGATGAGAGGGGATTGTGCTTGTCGGCTTCTGTCACTCATTATGGTGTATTATGTCACTATTCAATGCAGAAAAGTAGTCTCTGATGACATGACGCCGCCGTAAGAGTGGCTTAGTGTTGATATACAGTGCGCTGTTTACTTTGAGGAACTAAAACCTTCTAACTCCATGTTTAGTTTTATTTTGAGGCTGCTAATATCTGCAGTTGCACTCTGTTTGTCACATATTCCCTGTTTGGTGTCATGGTTTTGGGCTTTTATGTTGAAGGTTAGGTGTTGGTTGTCTTCCCTAGCGTTTAGTTAGTGTTCTGTTCTGGTTCTTGTTTGCTTTCTGGTTTTGATCAGTCTTCTGGACATTTTTATATATTTTTTTCTCTTTAGTTTATCTAATTTGGATCCAGATCTCCCTTGTTTCCGAGTTCACGTCTGTGTTGTCGTTGTATGAGAAAAAATACATTATACCACTATTAAAAAAAACTGTTAAAATAACAACAAACAAACAAAAAACACGGTAGCTCTGTCATTTCTGGTTGCCTGAATTCACTGTCAAAAGTATGTGACAATGTTTCAGGTATTATGGCATATTAGTGCCTGAACATTAAATGATATGATATAATGTTAATATACCAAAATCTGCTTTTTACCTTAAAATGTACTGATAACCATAATAAAACAGGTCGAATAGAAAGTCACATGGTAAATCAGAGTTGTAAGTGGCCTGTCTATTAAACATGGCCAGTACTGGTAAATAAACGTGCACAGGATCATACACACAAAGAAAATACATAGGCACAGCACACATAAAAAAAAAAAAAAAAAATGTAATGCAAAACACACTAATATACATGATATACATAATATACACCATGATATAAAAAGAACAACATGTATTTAGAATGTAAGCATATATAATACCACGCAGAGACTTCAGGGAATGTCCTTTTACTGTTGCTTTTTTTAACATAAAATTTATAGTAATTTGATTTCATTTTTAATTGCAAAAACCATAAATTTGACAGTATATTACCGTAAAAATATGTATAATATAATATTAAACCATTTACAGTTTTCACCTTATATGGTAAGGTAAGGGAACTTACAGTAACAAATTTTTACTGTGACATTTTTACTTTTTATTGTTATACTCCCGTTTACCCCTACCCAATATTAAAAAGAGACATATGGACACATGTAGATGTGAATGAACCAGACTGGTTCACAAATGAAACTATGAATGTTCTGCATGAGCTATTACTTTTTTCAGCCCCTATTGTTGGTTTTGCCCGTCTAGATTTCCTGTAAATGAGACCAGCAACCCCCCATCTCCTGGATCATTATGTTTATGTAATAAGGTCACAGTCGTTGATCTAATGGCGGCGTGCAAAGTTTGAAATGCGTGTGGGAAGGGGGGCATAATGGAAAATAAGTCATTTGCTCCACAGCTCCATTACTTTAATTGTTTACTAAGCAGAGGCATGTTGTGATGTTTCAGGTAAAGCACAGGAGTCACATTAACAAAAGAGCATGAGCTGTCTGAGCACATACAGTTAGATAGGGGCATAATGGAAAATAAGTCATTTGCTCCACAGCTCCATTACTTTAATTGTTTACTGAGCAGAGGCATGTTGTGATGTTTCAGGTAAAGCACAGGAGTCACATTAACAAAAGAGCGTGAGCTGTCTGAGCACATACAGTTAGATAAACATCAGATGGAAAGCGTGAGACAGGGGCCTCATTATTTAGAGCCAGAACCGGCCCATGTCTTTTGAGCACAAGATTTTCATCATTGCTCTATTATTGAATCTGCGAAACATTTGACAATGATGTGCATTTCTGTTCTGGTAATTAGAAGGACATTTTCAAACAAATCTACCGAATTATTTTAGCTGGTTATTTTAACGAAACAATTTCCCCCTAATTAATGTATCCTTTCCCCACTGACGATAGCCAACAATTATGATGTTCATTAAAAATGAAGGGAAGCTTGACTGTCGATCAAACACAGAAAGGGATTGTTTGAAAGGCCCTTTATTTGTTGCTGTGACAGCTCAATCACCCATCATGATCTAACCGGGGGGAGGTAAAAACCGCCGACAATGACCCTCAGAGGCTACAGACAGCCCTTCATTTGAGTGCTAATTAGAAAAATTATATCTCTGAAAGGCAGCCTGCTATCTGTTCCCAGTGTGTTGAGAGAGACAAGCTGAAGAGACAACAATGAGTTAATAGGAAAATTAATTATTTACACTATTATCTAGGCCAGGCCATTGAAAGAATGACTCAATAATGCTTTAATTGTGTTGCTGATTACATTTAGATAGACTCGAAAGCTTATCAAAAGCTCTGTTTATTATGTGCTCAGATGAGAGAACATGGATATTGCAGCGGTGCACAGCACAGCTTCAGTACATCTTGTGTGTTTCCCCTTAATATAATGTCAGTGGTGAGCACTTCTGTGGAAGAGGAGAGGTTACAGCAATGGGTTACACCCAGTTATTTTAGAGCAAAAGATGTTTGTGGTGGTTAAAAATTATTATTATTTTTTCTATGAAAAGACATACATGGACCATCAGTCAAAGTATGGGGGTCAGTAATCTATATTTTTAAAGAAATTAATACATTTATTCAGTAATGATGCAATGAATTGATCAAAAGTGGCAGTAAAGACAGTTTTTAAATAAATGCTGTTCTTTTGGAACTTTCTATTCTTCAAAGAATCCTTAAAAAGCGGTGCTAAAAATATTAATCTTTTTTCAACATTAGACAATAAAATGCTTCTTGAGCAGCAAATCAGCATATTTGAATGATTTCCGAAGGATCATGTGACATTGAAGACTGGAGTAATGACTGCTGAAATTCAGCTTTACCATCCCAGGACTAAATTACATTTTAATATATATTAAAATAGAAAACAGTCATTTTAAATGTTAATGTGCTTTTAATGTATTTTTGATCAAATAAATGCAGCCTTGGTGAGCATAAGAGACTTCTTTCCTAACATGAAAAAAATCTAATCTTTTTGTTTAATGTTTAATTTGTGTTTGTGTCGTTAGTAACAAAAAAGAAGGTGAAGAATATTAAATCAAATATAAGCCTCCATATATTTTGGTTTCTCCTTTGTTTAAAAAAAAAAAAAAAAAAAAACTTTTAGAAGACATAAAACAGTCTGTGATATTTTATCAAAATTATAATGATAAGGGAATAACAGAGAAGGAAAAAAAATCTAAATAAATCAACTCTTTTTATTATGGCCGACATATCCAAAAATCTGTTTTCAAATCTACCTCAGCAATGTCAGCAGAAAAGAGCAAAGCTCCTGGAGTCTCATTAATTTGAAATGAAAAAAAAACAACAACAACAACAACCAAAGAACAGAGCAAATACAGGCTCACATGGTGGCACTGTGAAAGAAAAGAGAAATATTAAAACCGATATATATTTCATATGCACAGGTTACTCTAGTGTTTCATATACAGTACAGATTGGTTTTGATGCTCTAAAAACATCTAAAAGAACCTGTACATTGTCAAAACATTTTTTTACGTAGCAAGGGAGAATTTGTCACAAAGACCTACTGTTCTACTGATATTTTAAGGGCAAATGTGCAATCCAGCACCCATTTCATGCACAAATGTGTGTTTAGTAAAGATCCTGTACATATAAACACTGGAATTGTACAGACAAATTTCCATTTTCAAAAAGACATCAGTTCCAGTCTTGTAGTACCATCAACAAGGCAAACAATTTCACATGATGGCTGCCTATTTCCACATTGATGTTAATAATGACAATCTATGCAACTGTACCTACATTTCACATTGTAAAACAACTCCGTCCTCACCTATTCATATGCTGAGATATCAAGTCATATTTACACTGGCTGTAATAACAGCTCTGTGTTACAGGGAAAAAAAAGGCACAATCTCGCTGAATGTAGAGTCTTTCTTTCATTGAACACATTTAAAGTTCAACATGGTATGTTGCCATGAGAAACAAAGTATGTTTAAACTACATAAAAAAACATGATAATTCAG